TATGCTATTCCCTCTTCCGCTCTACCTTCATCTCTCTCTCTTTCTCTCTCATATATATCCCTGATATATATCCAGAACAAAAACATGTTCAAGCATTCCCTTTCTGCGTGGTAGTGTTCTGTGGCTAGCAAAAATCATTTCCTCGCTAAGCTCACGATTATGGCAAAATAGTTGCCGGAAACCGCAGACGACACTCGTCGCTAGTTCTGGCAAAACGGCCGATACAATCTTTTTTTCGCATTTCTCCGCTCGCTGTCAAGGACAAGGGGGTTCGCTTCAACCAGCAAAACATGACCGCCGACGACTGTTTACTGAGCAATCATGCCTGTCGCCATCTCACTCGCTGGCGTCATGGGCGATAATATCAGGCACAAAGGGGCACACCAACCGGCAGCATTATCCCCAAATACTCGAGCCTCGCGTAAATACATAGAGTGTAAACGCTGTCGCCATGTTATGGTAGTAAGACCGCCCCCCCCCCCCCCCCCCTCCCCCAATGGGGGACTGCAGTACGCGACGGCGTACTAACACAACGGCGACGATATCGACATCGCGGGCTCCGAATTTTCCCATAGTTCTACTCCACGGGCATTTCTCGAAACGCTTGATATTGTGTACGCCCGCCTGGAAGGATTTCAGGCGCGTAGTTAAGATAAGGCGGTTCTCCGCGGCAAAAGAAAGCAATTTCACAAAAGCTTAAAAGCGGCGGCGACGCGTGTGCGGTGAACGCTTGTAGTTTTGGTGTAGACAGGGTGTGTGTGTTCTCGTTGTTGACACCAGCCGGCGATAAGGCACTGCAGGCGGTAGCTCAGTACAGCAAGGGCTAATCCGAGTGACCATCAACGTAACCCCACCGCCAACCCCTCGCGAACCGGTCGCCGACATGGCTCAGGCTGTGTCATGAACCACGCGGTAGAAGCTCGGGTGCTTTCATATCAGCGCGTGGAGGGACGACAGTGCGATTCCGGAAAGTCTTTTTCGAAGGCCGCTGACCACAATTTTTTGTCTGGAGACTTTCCCTCTTTCTTCCTTTGACGTGGATCAAGCTTTGCCGACAGCCTCAGTTCTGACCTCTCTTTTCAAATGTACGTTTGCAGTGAGTGAGCTCCTCAGCTTCGGACTTGTCACTTGTGCACCCAGTAGTTCTTTCACTTGGCAATTATATGCCATCAGTTGGGGTTTAATTTCTATTATTTATGTATACATTATGAAGACGTCCTGGAGCTCCGAACGAGTGTTTTGTGCAGATTACTTTTGCAAACAAAAAAAGACTATACCAAAGCAGCGGAATTTTCGAAGTGTTGGCGAGTTGGACCTAAAATCGTTGAAGCAAATTCTTCCGCCTGACTGTTCCACCAAAGTGAGTGCGACGGACTACCTGTGCTACCATTGCTTCATGCACATCACTAAGGAGATCTCGATGCGAAGCTCAGAGCAGTGCCCTGACATATTTGTGCCAGCTGAAGAAGCAATTGAAGATCTAAATCGCAGCATACTACCTACAGATGTGTCGCCGCTGAGACAACCAAGCGTCGTAAGAAGTCGGGACAGGCCTGCTTATGTCAAGAGAAAGCAGACAGAACTGGAGCAGGTTGCTGTCAAGAATATACGCTCAAGGCTACGTATTGCGTACGACAGGGACGCACCATCGGGGTCGTCCGAACCAACATGCTCCACATGCACTGAGTGGGTGGACAACTTTCGGCAGGCCTTTGAAACCGCCACCTCTCTCAGGGAATGTTGTCAACTGCTTACACTCCTGCCGTCAACACTGACGAAGAATGAGGTTCAAAAGATGATTCCACAGGCCTTAATGTACCTCATCAGTAAATCCCGAAAACTCAAGGAAAAGCATGGCGTGTGGTATGAGCCGGATCCTTACACGAGGTGCAAGGTGAGCCCTGAGAACCTGTCTGCTGCCCCAGAGTACTTCACGAAAGACGAGCTACAATGTTCGCGCCAAAGTCCCAACCAGAAGGACGTCATCTCTGTCATGCTCAACGGAGAGAAAACGTTCGTGCCAAAGCGCTTCATGACACGCTCAATACGAGAGGCCTTCCCTATATACAAAGACAAGCATCCCGATTCCGGCGTTGGGCTAACGAAATTTTATTCGTTGCGCCCTAGATGGGTCCAATGTATTCCACACCAGGAAGTGTGCGTTTGTGTGCGCTGCGCCAATTATTATCTTTGTATTGCCGCTCTAGAGAACGTTACAGGCTCAACATTCAACACTGGTGAAATGAACTCGGCATTTCTGTGCGACCCAGCAACAGAACTGTGCCTTCAAGGAGACTGTGATCACTGCCCAAAAGGCCAGTTTCTTACACTCCAGGAACTTGATATCCCGGAGGATGAAGAGATTGTGCTTGCAACATGGGAGTCCGGCGACCTTGTGAAAAAAACTTTGGAACCTGAGACTTTCCTAAAAGTCATCCAAGTGACGGTTGGAAGTTGGGTACTTCACAACCATATCCGGCAAACGCAAGGTAAAGCGATCTACGATGAAAAACAGTGCATGCAACGCGGGAGCATTGTCTTTCATTTTGACTTCGCTGAAAACTGGACCATCGTGCTTCCTGACGAAGTGCAAGCATATCACTGGAAAAAAAAACAAGTTTCGATATTTACATGTGTGTGATTGTTCCAACAAGGTCGCTCTCAAAATAAACGCCCAGGTATCCATATTCTCGGTCCCGGCAGACGACGGGTGAGAAGAGATGTCTTCACATGTAGTTTCCGCTCCAGCTTGGTCACAAATAGGGCTCTTCGGCCCGTTAGCGGAAATGCAACGCTCAGCTTGCATTTTTCAGATGCACCAGTCAACGCACTGGTTCGAGCCTTTGAGAGTGCGAATATCGGTATCGGACGCCCTACTCGGCTGTCATGCGTACATCCTTGTAGGCTGGCAGGTCGCTAAGAGAATCCCGTGTTCTGCCCTGCCCACCAGACTCGCGGGGATTGTGCGCAGAATGAGCTAAAGCCGGGAGCCCACCCAGCCACGCAGATTACATACCCGTTTTCACCTCAAGGAAAAAGCACATTTTGCGCATTGCTCACACACCGCGCGAAGCAGTTCTTACAAGGTTGTCGGAGGAACAAGCGATGCTTTTGACGTTTGAAACGTGTACGGCTTGATAAGACAGCACATGTGTAATCTAAAATGTACCTACACGTATCTTAATTCTTCACATAAAGGGGGAAATTAGTGATGCTCCGCGAAAACCGGGACTTTGTTTTTTTTGCGACGGTTCTTGAGGTTCAAACGTGTATTGGCGACTCCATCGCAATCGACGCCGCGTAGCGGCAACGCCGAGAAGCTTGTAGGTAAAATAGAAACAAACATCGTTTCTAGGAATGTTCATTATTCTTCCGCCATGATATTCCTACACACTGACTAGAAGAACGTTTTTACATTGCTTTGTTTTCATCAGTGTGTCGAACCGAAAAAAATACGGGTTCGGTTACGGTTCAGGTTCAAGTAAATTTATTTTGTTCCGGTTCAGTTCCGGTTCGACTAATTCGATCCGCGAACCGGTTCGCGAACCGGTTCGGGGCGCTGAACCGGTTCGCGAACCGGTTCGGAAATTATAAATGACAAATTGCAACATCAAAATAAATTACAAATAAAACATCTGAAATCAGCCCATACGAAACGGGATACATCGTAGTATAAGGCTCAGGAATTTCTACCAGGAATGGTTTCTTTATGTGCACTCAAAGGTTACCTCACCGACGTTTACGCATTCGAACTTCCTCTAGTTGGGTCCGACGCAGTAGCTGTAAAATCCGCGACCTCCTTACAAACCCACTTACAAGTAGAACTCGCTAACTATCCCGCCACCTCGGCGTGTAAGCAATTTAAGGAACAGTGGGGAGAAAATACAGCTTGCTTTATTTGAACTAGCCTTCGGTAACTCAAATTAGACCCTTAAAGAAGTTTTCATTAAACAAGATACGGAATATGAAAAACACTTCACCGAACGCAACGCCAGAAGGACGTAATAGGATAAATATTAAAATAGAAGAGTTCGCTGTCTCACAAATATGTTAGCTTCAAAGTGCCTATACGAAACCGGATGCATTATTATCAAACTCCATAGCCTTTTCTTTTCTCATTCCGATGGCAGCAAGCTTCAAGAAGTCGCGCATTCTAGAAACGTGTTATGAAATGAGCACACAGCAGCATTTAGGATTTACGAGATTGTAGGAAAATGAAATCCCGTGACGCGATTTTTTTTTTTTTTTTGCACAGTCTTCCAATTTTTTTTTTCCGTGCAAGCCACGACCAGCGCAATACTGGTTCCTATGTCAAGATTCATGGATGCAGCGTTTGTCAAGATTCATGGATGCAGCGTTTATATTCCTAAGACTGAGTGGAGAAGAAAAATATGTAAGCGAGGTGTGTGTCAGTTGACGGCACTTACAAAACAAATGGCATTGATAGCACATTCATTGTCAACAGCGCGTGGCCGAACTGTTTTGACATGAGCCGGTAACCGTTATTTTTTTTCCGGTTCAGTTCCGGTTCGGGTTCATCGCGATAACAATATAACGGTTCGGGTTCGGGTTCAGTTCCGGAAAAAATACCGGTTCGGTTCCGGTTTTCGGTTCGGTTCGGTTCCGGTTCGACACCCTGGTTTTCA